GGGGGGGGGGATTTTTATTGATTTGGGATGAATTACAATGGAATAGAACCCTCTATTTATCGGGAGAGGGAGACTTAGCCACCAAGCAATGAACCCTAGAATCTCTCTAAAACATTCACTACAAATACAATTCTATTTATAACAAGATCGATTTTTTTAAGGAAGTTAAAAAGAAGTTATGTTGCTCTAGAAGTAAATCGGTAGATAAGCTTAGATAGAAAATATAAGAGTTTTTTCTCTATATCAACCCAATCTTGGGTAGTGGGTATTGGCATTTGGCCATCCAATTTCCCTAATTCTATATCCATGAGTGATGTATTCTTATTTCAAACCTTAGCATTTTAGCTAGTTCTCTAGGTTATAAGCACTATTTAGGGTTCAAAAGACTTGATTAATTAGTAAATGGTGATATTTGTTCCTTTCTTTTAGAAAATTAATCACGTTTATCCCTAATTTTGCTGTCGGTCCAACTAAGTTTCTACCATTAAGAAAGTAAATAAACATACCCCTAACTCTAACTGCTGACCATTGTGGCAAGGGACCCAATCAATAAAAAAATGTCACGTAATTAATTTTTATTCTTTTTCCTTCTCTTTTTTCTTTCTCCTTTTCCCTACCATCAGAATTCGTTCCCTTTCTCTCCCTTGCATTCTACTATTATTTACCTTCATTTCACCCCATCCACCTCCATGGATTGGGAAACCACATAGAATCATTACTTGTCAATAAAGATACTATCGATTATGCTAATCAATTAAAAAATGGATAAAATCACATCCCATAGATTCACCCTTCTCCATTAACACTCGAAAAAGACTATAACCCTTTTTCTTTCGCCATTTTCAGATTTTCCAGGCTCCATTCTTTCGTTTTTTTGTACTAATCTAGAAAACATATTGATAACACCAAGAAAAGAAAAAACAAGAATTAGAAGAAAACAAAACCATAAAGATTTCTGTTTTTTTCCTATTGATTAATTTCCTGCTTAATCCAAAAAAGCATAGAGCAACGGAGATGGACCAAGAAATTGTAAGTAACTGAATCCTAGAAAGTTTGGATAGGTTTGACTTTTGACACCACCTAAGTCCCTTTTTCTTTCTCTGTAAATTGATAGAAAAAAATTAAAAAGTTTTAATTTTGTGATCTAAAAATACAGGTAAGAGATTAAAAGGGAAATTTTGGTATTAATATAATGGTGAATGAATGTGGTGTATTAATACTACATTGTTTATTAACCAAACCAAGGAAAAAGCAATTTCAGTTGTTGAGTCCTTTTTGTTTTAATAAACTGTGAAGACCAGCGATTTAAACAAATGAAGACTACTTTCTAATTGGTATGGAGTTATTTGGACCGATAGTAGAATTAGGAATAAACATGGATAATTTTTTAAAATAGAGGGACAAATCTGACATTTTTCTCCTTAATTAATACTTTCAACCACTATCCATTGTCTTCTTCAACCATCTAACTACAATATTAATGACGCACGGCCTAACTAGGGTTCACCAAGTTTCAATTGAACCATATTCACCTCATAAACATTTATCTCTTAAGGTTGATATTTCTTTCCTACTAGATATGAATAGCCCGTGCTAGAATTTGAACAAGATTTATTTTCATTCTTACTTTAGTTATGAAAAAAATAGCTTGAGATGGATTTTTAAAACATAATTCTCCTCTGATATGATGTGAACACTTAATTTCCTATTTTGTTATTCGATATTTTCTCTCAAAAGTTTATTTAAAGCTTCAACATGGTCATTACTAAGAGAGGCACTTTCTCCAAGAATGAACAACATGTCAGTAATTATAAATATTTGCTGGAAGTGTTATAAGCATCTGAGAAAATCAACTGCAGAATTTACAGGACTACATCTTAAGTTCTTGCTCATTGCAATCTTTACCTACACATTGTCTAAAACAAAATATGTAACCTATTAACATTACAAACCTGAAAAGGACACAACACTAATGTAGAATAAATCAAAAGGAACAAACTCAGCTTATTTGCATTCAGAGCATTTCATAAATTCAAGAAATTACTTTGGTCCACTTTTACAGAAAGTATCAAGTATAATAAATTATCAAATATGGTCCACTTTCATAGAAAGCATCAAGTACATATTTTAGAGTAGAGAGCTGGTGTTGGCTGTTTCAAGCTCAAACTGATCATCACAAGCCATATAAGCAATCTTCTGATTTACGTAACAGATAATTTCACTGTCAGCAATTAAGCGGGTTAACTCATAAGGCAACTTGTCCCGCTTCCCTTCGGATATACAAAGCCAAGCTCAACTTTTATTTATATAAGCACATATTCCAACCTAGATTTTTAGACAAATAGTAATACCTACAATGATATTTACAGCTCCAGGTCACATAAACTTTCAGACTATTTGAGTCGGATATTAAGCAAAAGCTATAAATTAATCCTATATACTACAGATAAAGTGATCAATGAGTACTACAAACAAAATGATAACACAAATGGTATACTATAAGTAGAAATGACTAAGAAGAGAAAGACAGCATTGAACGAAAAAGGGCACATTCACTTTAAGTGAGTCAGGTCATCATGTGGGCTCAATCAGAGGGCTGCTCCAAACTTGGTATCCAATATTTGGTGTTACATTGTTCCTTCCATTTGCCAAGGGACCTCAAAAAGCCCTATATAATTTTGTAACGCATAGCTCTTGGATCAAGCATTCAAACCCCACATTACTTCTACAAAATAAAGCGCGCGCGCGCACAATTATTGACCACTCCGACTCCTCTGCATCACTATTCTAGCTACAAAGAGGTTAAGTATTGCCCATTTTCACCAAGAAGCTCAGGAATGGTTAAGCTTGTTTGTTTTCCTTTAGGCACTCCTTGCTATCACTATAGCCGCAACATTTCTTGCTACAAATACCTACAACTACCTTGATGCTGTAAATACCTTCCAATTACATCTTCAAATTCTAAACTCAAATTAGTTCTTTGTTCTAACAAATTGTTTGTTATTCTAGTGATCAAGTTATGGCCCACATAGCTTGGATCCTCACTTAGGTATTCTTCTTTTGTTATGAGTTCATTATACATTCTCTTATTACTCACTTTCAGAATGCTTTTCAACCCACTTTAAGAATGCTCTTCCATGGATCAATTTACTTTGTTAAGACCAGTATTGGCCTAGAATACAAAACTATGTCTTCGGCCTTCACATTTTATCTTCATTCTAGCATGCCAAGTTGTTAGCACCATCCTTACATCCAACTAATCCCAACAATCTCGAAATTAATTTGAAGAATACTGAGATTGTGCTAGAAGGAAAAAACAAAAATTAACACATTTATGAATATATATTACAGCATGAAATACCGGAAAGATAGAGGAAAAGATTTCGTTAAGGAAAAACAAAGAGACGCAACTTAATAAAATTATTCCTACTTTTTACTATGACAAAGTTGGCACACGAATATAACAAATGTTGAATGAAATAGAGACGACTAAAAGCTTAGGCAATTTCTAGGTCAAATGTAGCTTTTCTGGATCTAGCAAAATGATTCACCTATAGCTGCTTTCCTTTTACGTACCAGATAAAAAGAACATGCAGCCAAATATGCTTAACCTGCTTAGTCTGATGATCTACAATATCAACTCAGAAACTTTCTATTTATAAAATTGGATTAGAAAGTTTCAATCCAATTTGAGTATGCGTAGATCAAGGCATTTTCCTGGCTTTTCATTATTTATGCCTCTTATTCGTAAGTTCAAATACGAAAAATGAAGTGGCAACCTATGTAGCAGGCTTCACTGTCAAAAATGTATCAAAACTCCAACATAGCACATTAAAATTAACCACAAAATTCTAAGCCAAATCAAAATACACAACAATAACCAATCCCTTTAAAAGTATTAACTGTGGAAGTCAAAGACGTATCAAAAGAAGGAGAAATGTAAAGAAAATTATAAGTTTTACAGTAAACAATGGACAAGTTCTAAAACAATTTAAGCATTAATTATTGTCTCATTTGAATGGTGTTAAACAACGGATAGGTATATTATATACAAATAGTTTAAGCTTGTGTTGTCAAAGGCTCATTTAAAGCGCGCTTAAGCACCAAAGCTCAAGGAGGGCGCTTCGCCTTGCTTAAGTTGCACTTTAATGTAGGCAAAGCACTAAGGTGTACGCCTCATTTCCCATGAGTTCTATCTTGAATCAAGCGGTGCTAAATGACAAATATTGTCAACAAATAAGTATATTAGATGTTGACAAAGACATTAGGAATGGGTTTGTTACTTCTTTCTTGAATTACATATGTATTTTATTTTTTTCCCTTAGTTGCGCCTTTTTTAACTAAAGCCCGCACTTTAGTTGCGGTTTGCACTTGAAGCCCCAATCGACCTGGAACGCTTTTTAGAGCTTTTCGCTTTTGACAATACTGAAGCATAAATTGGTGGTCTTATCTAAGGAACACTAAACAATGATGAAGCATGAATACTACTTGTGGAATGCACAATGAACTTGGTTCTTATGACAGAAAAGAGAAGTCTAGCCTACATGATGTATCTAAATATGCCATTTCATTTTACAAAATAAGACCAGTGAGTCATCCAAATGAAATGGAACTCTTGGATAATCACGTGGGAGCGAGACTAAGAGGTCACATTAGGTCCCAATTTCCACAAACATGGATCTATACTATTTCAGTAACTTCTTTCATATGTAAAAGCATCAAAATTTTAAATTTCCAATGGCATACAAAGTTTATGAGAGGCGTCTAATCAAACTTCAAAAAGTAAAAGACATGACATGCAACTTACCGGATAAAAAGGTGAATCTTACGGAAGAAGTTCGATCTTATATTTTGATTCTTTAGAGCTCCGACAAAAGGGTCCACCTGATATAAAATTGAGAATGAAGCAGGAGATAAGAAAGATAATAGCCACAATAAGTAATCCTAAGGAAATACTTCTTTTCTTTTACTCCTTTTTTCATTTTGATAAGATAAGAAAATTCATTAATGGAGTAACAAGGAGTTATTGCAAAAGACATACAAAAAGTAACAATTTTTTTGCCACTGGTTCATCCTCGAAAATTCCAAAAAGGTCAGCTTATTGGGAAAGCTTTCTATACTATTATTCCCGCACCAAAAGGATAAGTTATGGAGACCTAATAAGTCTTGCCAGATGAAAAGGCGATTCTTAAGGGCGAAATTCCAATTAGATGAAAAGATTCCATATTATTGGAAGGTAAGGAAACAAACACATCCAATTTCTAGTCATCAATTTACCTTTTATTAACTAAATAATAATATGTTTACTAATTTTGTACTAAAATAATTGCAATTGATGTACTTCGGAAATCAAAATTAAAAAAAGAGCAACACAAAAGGAAAGGGCTACCAAAAAAATTCAAGAACTTGACTTTGTTCAGGCAAAATAAAAGAGCTGCGTCAGGTGTCAGGGAAAACCCAATTCAATAACACCCAACCCCGCAAAAGTAAATTTTCAAAAAAATTAAATAAATAAAAAAATCCAAGAGTTCCCAGCGGCCAGCATAGAAATAAAAAAAAAAAGAAAATACTTGAACCACAAAGAAAATTGCAAATAAAATTTCCAAATGTTATAGAAGAAAAATAAAAGTGATACAGAATGGGAAACAAATCAAAAAGAGATACGCACCTGGGTTTTAAGTTGAAACGGCCGACAGAAGGGGATTAGTACAGAGAATGTTTAACCGAAACTTCCCACAAATGTTAACAAATTGACTGTATTAGAAGAATTGACGACTGTTACCTTATTGCAAATTTTAGCTGAAGCTTCAATGATGTTAATCTATCATTGCCAGTAACATAGAACCAAGCAAGGAGCATTCTTAAACTGAAAGACGAAGGAATGGATATTTCTAGACCAATGCTGTGTTTGGAATAAAAGGCATATGGCAAAGTTTTACCGAGCTAAATGACTATTCTACCCTTGGTCGATTCGTTCCCTTTCTCTCCCTTGCATTCTACTATTATTTACCTTCATTTCACCCCATCCACCTCCATGGATGGGGAAACCACATAGAATCATTACTTGTCAATAAAGATACTACCGATTTTGCTAATCAATTAAAAAATGGATAAAATCACATCCCATAGATTCACCCTTCTCCATTAACACTCGAAAAAGACTATAACCCTTTTTCTTTGCCATTTTCAGATTTTCCAGGCTCCATTCTTTCGTTTTTTTGTACTAATCTAGAAAACATATTGATAACACCAAGAAAAGAAAAAACAAGAATTAGAAGAAAACAAAACCATAAAGATTTCTGTTTTTTTACCTATTGATTAATTTCCTGGTTAATCCAAAAAAGCATAGAGCAACGGAGATGGACCAAGAAATTGTAAGTAACTGAATCCTAGAAAGTTTTGATAGGTTTGACTTTTGACACCACCTAAGTCCCTTTTTCTTTCTCTGTAAATTGATAGAAAAAAATTAAAAAGTTTTAATTTTGTGATCTAAAAATACAGGTAAGAGATTAAAAGGGAAATTTTGGTATTAAGATAATGGTGAATGAATGTGGTGTATTAATACTACATTGTTTATTAACCAAACCAAGGAAAAAGCAATTTCAGTTGTTGAGTCCTTTTTGTTTTAACAAACTGTGAAGACCAGCGATTTAAACAAATGAAGACTACTTTCTAATCGGTATGGAGTTATTTGGACCGATAGTAAAATTAGGAATAAACATGGATAATTTTTTAAAATAGAGGGACAAATCTGACCTTTTTCTCCTTAATTAATACTTTCAACCACTATCCATTGTCTTCTTCAACCATCTAACTACAATATTAATGACGCACGGGCTAACTAGGGTTCACCAAGTTTCAATTGAACCATATTCACCTCATAAACATTTATCTCTTAAGGTTGATATTTCTTTCCTATTCAAAAGTCAACACTTTTAAGCCACAATACTAATCTCATGCACTTCCAAGCGCCATTTCAAACAGCTATGTCCATGTTCTAAGACTGCATGGCTGTAACTCTCTTTAGTTCTGCGAAATAAGGTGTACCTTTGTGCCGGTTTCTTAATTTGTTCATTGTGCATGTTGATTTTCAGGAGTGCACAGTAGTATCGATTAGACATATCCAACAAATAAAATACTTGTTTGGGGTTCCTCTGCATCACATCATTAGATAAAAAGTCAAAGCAATTTGTAAAGCACAAGAAATGGAACACCTCTTCCCATGGAGAAATTTGCTTTTACTTTAGAAGGAAAATCACTTACCAGATTCATATCCAGCATTCCGAGAACTTAGACATGGAAACCTCTTCCCTTATTTACGGACTTTTGATATGAAGCTTCAAAAGTTCAAAAACCCACTGCTTCGATTCGAGAATGTAGATGCAACTTTGTGCTGTCGTTGTTACGTTAGACAGAAAAAATAAAAAAAGCTACAAAATAATAATAACATAGAAGAGGTCCACAAATGACAAATGGTACATCTGAAAGGGAGAAGGAGAAGTTTGAGAAAGAAGAGGCGGATATAACTTTGAGGAGGAGAAGGAGAAAGGGGCCCAATTGTTTAAAAAATGGGTACAAATTAAAAGTTTTTAAAAAATGGGATGACACTTGCTTCATATTCCATGTCAGTTTTTATATTGTATCTACTAAAAATACTTATTATATACTATTTTCTTTAAGAAAATTAATGCCCCCATCACATCTCGCTTCTCTCAAATTAGGGATGCCTTGTGCTTAGCAGTGCACATATTTCTTCTTCCTTGTCCGTCTCAAATCCCTTCTCAATCCCACCATTCCGTTGATGAATAATTATGTAGGTATTTTTAATTAGGTAGATCAATGCCGCGCCGTTCTTAGCAGCTGCTATCAAGGCATTGCCGGAGTCGGATATCGGGAGAGGGGGTATGAGAAAGAAGAAGCTGGGTTGGGGGTTTCACGACCAAAAAAGGTCAAAATTAAATGAAAACAAAAGAAAATAAGTATTGATAGCAGAAATGGCCACTTTTAAGGGATCTTCAGACATTTTTTTTCTTTTTTTTTTTGAAGAAGAGATTGGTTGGGGGGGGGGGGAGGGGAGAAGAAGAATGGGAAAAATGAAAAGGGAGGGGACAGTGGGGAAGAAAAGAAGCGTACAGGGTGAAATAACGAAAAGGGAGAGGGGGTGGGGGAGCCAATAGAAAATATAAATTAAATGGGAGTGGGGTGCGGGGAACAACAGAAAGAGACAATATCTCTTTGTTTTTTTTTTTTTTTAAAATACTTATTTTATCTTTATTTTTTTATTTTATTTTTGATCTTATTTTAATAATATTTTTCTTCTTATTTTACATTTCTTCTTCAGAATCTTTATATGCACCGCTCGTTGTCCGCGTGAATTACACACACTTTGTCCAGTTCAACCATTTTTGTTGCCGCATGTGTTTGGTCAACTGTTAAAGGGTTTAAAATATAGACTTTGATCAAGTTAAAGTGTCTAGATAAAAAACAAGTAAAGTAGAAGGACCAAAATGTCAAATTGAAACAAGTACAAGGGTTTAGTAGGCTATTATGCCAAGAATAGACGAATGACTTCTTTTTAACTTCAATTCATCATTGCAACTCAAAATAAAATTTATAACATCAATATGTTTTATTTACTTTTAAGAAATGTCCATAAAATGATCTATTTTTCTTTTCCTTACAAAGGCCCGAAAATAACTTGTTTACGTATTATCGGAAAGCGCATTAACAAATAATATACAATAACAACAACAACCCAGTAAAATCTAACTTAGTGAGGTCTGGGGAGGGTAAAGTGTACGCAGACCTTACCCCCTACCCCGGAGGGGATAGAGAGGCTATTTCCGGGAGACCCTCGGCTCTGAGACAACAAAACCCGAAAAAATAATATCGAATAAAAATAATATATCGAATAAAAATATATGAGCTTTCTAAATGTTGACTTGTGAAGAAAAAAGAACAAAGATTGTAAAAATTAACCAATATATGATAGGAAAGTGAGGATACTGTTAGAATCAAGATTAATATCAACAAAATGGATCCTTTATGATAGTCATGAGTATTAAATATTACTAAGGAGGGCATGCCCCTTTAGTGGACTTTATGTGACGGAACTCGGGTTAATCGAATTAATAATATATAAATGGTTTTACCAGACAAAAAGAAATATTATAAATGAAGAAAGGATCACGATCATGCTAGACTGACAACTAAATAACAAAAAATAGGTAAAAGTTTATATTATCCATAATTAATAAATACATCTGGATGTTGATTTGATCGATATTTTTGCTTGTTCAATATCAAAAGCCGACTTGATTTAGTTTTTGGCTTCTCTTTAACACCCTTATATTCGTTTAACCAAAAACAACACACTTTTTTCTTACTGGGTCCAATTCCAATCGATCCATCTCTGAAAGTAATAACTTGTAGAACACTAATTACTGTTATGGTATTTAAAACTTGCCAAAAAAAAAATGCTCTAACACAATGGGACCCGTTTTAAGAAGGCATTTGTGTCGAGTTCCAGATTGGAAAAGTTAACAATGAAAAAAGTACTTTGATTTTCTGTTGAACTTGGGGAGAACAAAAAAACGGGTGATTTTTAAAAATAGTCAGATTTACAACTGGTCGTTTAAAAATAGCCCAATTTCAAAAGTAATCGAAATTTAGCCACTTTTTATATAAAGATAAATCTGAGCGAAAACACTGTTCAAAACCCGGAAAATACTCCAGTATATTATGCTGGAGTTCCAGCATAAGTATACTTGAACTCCAGCATATTATACTGGAGTTCCAGGATAGTATGCTGGAACTCCAGCATAATATGATGGAGTTCCAGCATAAATACACTAGAACTCCAGCATAATATACTGGAGTTCCAGCAAGTATAATGGTCCAGTATAATATACTGGAGTTTGGAGCACCAGTTCTCCAGTCTCCAGTATATTATACTGGAGCCAGCAAAGTATACCGGTCCAGCATAATATGCTGGAGTTCATACACAAGTGCACCGAACTCCAGTATATTATGCTGGACCGGTCTCTATTTCAGCAAAACGGTGGCTATTTTTCATTGACTTGGTAAACGCTGGCTATTTTTGATTGACCAGTCCGAAAACTGGCTATACCGTAAAATTTTGGCCAAAAAAACGTAAAACATAAAAGGGAAAAGCAAGGAGTAAGAATAGCATTTAAGTTTGGTGAAAAGACATAATCGACCCTCTCATTAGAATATTGTTAGTGTGTTGTTAAGGATATTTTAGTCAAAGCAAAACTGGGTACATTGTTAACATATTACCTTCACGTACTATATTAGCAAAATCCTATATATATGTAAATAAGAATTTTCATAATGAGCGTAAATATTTGATTTTACAACACATAAGGTGTATATTTGAGGGAAAAAAAGGTAGGACGAAATCTTGTTTAATAGAAAAAAAAAGAAAACTTACACAAATGTCCCAAATAAATCTCAACTTACCAACCTCTAGCCATTAATCATAGACTTATCAAAACTAGCCAACAAAAATTGAAAAACCAAATAATAGGGTTCTTTCTCTCAAAGAATCACATGCAAAAATCACCTTCCATATTTTTAAGCGTGATTAGCAACACTAGATACAAGACGAAAAGGAAATTTTATGGATGAGGTAGCAAATAAGGTGATGAAATACAAAAAATATATGCAATATTCAAAAAATCTAAACAAAAAAGGAACTTTTCCAATGGGTATAGTTGAAATTCATTGAAAATATATAGATAAGTCAATATGCAAAATTTGAGGAAGATTGGAGGTGATTTGGACTGGTTTTGTATCAAAATTCGTAATTAAATCGAGTTCAAAAAAGTCTTCTGCGACACATGTATCAAACATGTATCACGCATGTATCTCACACATATGTATACATGGATATACATATGATACACAATATATACAAGGCCAAATACATATAGAGATCATTAAACTTGGCCCAATTTTTCATTTTGGCACTCTAACTAACTCTTGTTCCATTTTGGCCCTCCAACCCCAATTTTTGTGTTCCATTTTGACACAAAATTTTTTCTCCCAGGTAAAAATGCAGCACGTGCATTTCAGCTGCTACCCCCACCCCACTGTCCCCTCCCCCACCCCCGCGCTAAAAAATTTTTTTTTACTTTTTTTTTTGTAATTTCAAATTATTATTTTTTTTCGTTTTTTCTGCCCACATCCCATGGAAAAAATATTTTTTTATATATTTTCAGTAATAACTATGGGTTCAACTAAACCCATAACTTTCGACACGGAGCAAAAATTTGTATGTAAAAATTCATTAAAATTAAAAAAAATATAGATATAAACCCATAACATTTAAAAGTATAATGGGTTCTTTTGTTCCACTTTGACACAAAAACTTTTATCCCAGTTAAAAATGCAGCACGGAAAAATATCCAGCTGCTACCCCCCATCCCATTCCCCCCTCCCTCCCCCCCCCCCCCCCACCCACAATTGCTTTTTGTAATTTCAAATGATAATTTTTTTTGTTTTTTCTGCCCTCCTTCCGTGGAAAAAATATTTTTTATATATATATTTTCAGTAATAACTACGTGTTCAACTGAAACCATAACTTTCGACGCGGAGTAAAAATTTGTATGTAAAATTTTATTAAAATTATAAATAAAAAAAAATAGATATAAACTCATAACTTTAAAAATATAATGGGTTCAATGTTAAAAATATTAAAATTGAATCCATAGGATTTAAATTCTAGATCCGCCTCTACGTTGAGAGTATGAAATTTGGCTGAAAAAATATCCCTCACGCGCCTAAAGGGTGAGGCAAATCACACACTAAATCTAGTCAGCTTTGTGTTAAAGTGGAACACAAAAATTGGGGTTGGAGGGCCAAAATGGAACAAGAGTTAGTTAGAGTGCCAAAATGAAAAATTGGGCCAAGTTTAATGGGCTCTATATGTATTTGGCCTATATACAAATATGATACATATGTGATATATAAATGATACACAGTATGATACACATATCATTTTTTTCATGTTCAGTTTTTACCGAATTTTCAATTCAAACCACCTCAAAACTTCACCAAATCATCCCAAAACTGAGATTCAAGCTCCTTAAGTTGTGTACAATCTATTCTAATAAAACCCACTCAAAACAAAGCTAAAATTTGATATTTTTTTGCTACAAATAGCTAATTGGCTAATTTGGCTAATATTAGTAATATTTTATCAATTGGCCAATTTTTGTAATGAGCTACCTACAAATGGACATAGCTGAATCCCGGGAAACTTACACAAATGTCCCAAATAAATCTCAACTTACCAACCTCTAGCCATTAGTTATAGACTTACCAAAACTAGCCAATAAAAATTTAAAAACCAAATAATTGTAACGACCCGACCCGTCGTATCAGGTATTACCGCCCTGTTTTCCTCATTTATTGCTTCTTCATGTTTCATTATCAGCAACGAGTGAGTTAGAGTTGAATTGAATTGGTTTGGATAGGAAATGAGACACTTAGTCTCTTTAAGGAAGGCTTAAATTGGAAAAGTCAACCGGACGTTGACTTATGAGTTCGAAGGTTCGGATGTGATTTCCGATGATCCGGTTAGCTTCGGGAGATGATTTGTGACTTGGGAGCGTGATCTGAATTGGTTTTGGAGGTCCGGTGTAGAATTAGGCTTGAATTGGCGAAGTTAGCATTTTGGCGAAATCCGGTTGATATGTGAGATTTTGATCCGAGGGTCGGAATGGAATTCTGAGAGTTGGAGTAGCTTCGTTAGGTGATTTTGGATATGTCTGCAAATTTTCAGGTCAGTCGGACGTCGCTTGGTTGGGTTTTTGATCGAATGCGAGTTTCGGAAGTTTTTAAAGAACTTAGGCTTGAATCCGATGAGAATCGATAATTTTAGTGTTGTTTGATGTGTTTTGATGATTGGAATAAGTTTGGATAATGTTTTAAGTCATGTTGGTGCTTTTGGTTGAGGTCCAGGGGGGCCTCGGGATGATTTCGGATGGCTAACAGGGAGTTTTTGGAATTTCATACAGCTGAAGGCATGCTGTTTCTGGTATTCTCGCTTCTGTGGGTCTTGGACCGCAGAAGCGTGGAGCCGCTTAAGCGGAGCTGTGATCGCAGAAGCGGTCCTTGAGGGCTTGGCAATTTTCGCAGAAGCGAAAGGCAGTCCGCAAAAGCGGACATCGCAGGAGCGGGTGGTGACCGCAGAAGCGGTCCTGAGGATTTTAAGTTAGACCGCAGAAGCGGTTATTTTGCGCAGAAGCGGGAGCCGCAGGTGCGGTATCCCAACCGCAGAAGCGAAACCTTGCTGAGTTTAAGTGAACAGTGTTTTCACGATTTTGAAAGAGAAGAAACATTTTGGACTTCGGACTAAGGAGATTTTGGGCGATTTTTGAAGAGGGTTTCGAGGGCTATCATCAGGTATGGATTCTTAGACTTAGATTATGATATTATGGTGTAAAATCATGGATTAACACTGAAAATCCAAGGAATTAAAGGTTAAAAATGGAAGTTAGGGTTTGAGAATTATGATGTAAAAATGGAATTTGGAGGGTCAAACGAACTCCGATTTTGGTAAATTTTATATGTATGGACTCGTGGCGAGACGAGGAATCCGGTGATATGAATTTCGTAATTTTTCGAGAAGCGGGCCCGGGGCTCGGGTTTTGCTAGTTTCGAGATTCTTGCTAATTTTCGATTGTTTTCGATTGGGTATTGTTCCCTTAGCATATTGTGATGTATTCGCTCTGGTTTTGGTTAGATTCGACGCGCGTGGAGGCCGATTGAGGGGCAAAGGCGTCGCGAGCTAGGGATTTCACCGGTCCGAGGTGAGTAATACTTGTAAATGATATCCTGAGGGTTTGAAACCCCGGATTTGCACATCATAGTGCTGTATTGTGGTGACTTGCACGCCAGGTATGAGCGTGGGGTAGAGCACCGTTGGGGATTGTGACTTAGTCCGTCCCGGTTGTTGGTTTTATTGCGTAATTGACTGAAACTCCTTGTTATCATCATTATTTGGTTTGATTGCTATATTTGGGCTTCGTGCCAATTATTTGAATCCTTCAGGGATGGATATCACTATTTTTGCATTACTTTGCATATTATTTTATCACAGTCCAAGGTTTAAAATACTGTTTCGTAAACTCAACTATCTTTCTAAGATTTGAAAACCTAAATGATATTTTACTGACGTTTTGAGTTGAGACTGTTATTTTACTATTGCCCAAGGGGCTTATGTGCATTTCTGGACTGAGGATGGATCGGGCTGCGCGCCGCAGCAGTGTGATATTGATATTTCTCTTGGGCTGTAGGAGCCCCTCCGGAGTCTAAACCCCCACAGTGAGCGCGGGTACCCAAATGGATCGGGCTGCGCGCCGCAGCGGTCATATGCATTGCATTGCATTCATGCATTGGTTCCTGTTTGTACTACGTGTCATGACATTTAGCACTCTCATATCATTGGCATCCATGCTATTGCTTGTACTGTTTACCAGACACCCTGGTGTTAACTGTTTGTGGAGTGCTGTGCCCGAGGGGCTGTCTTATGTGCGGACTTGCACTATCTGATTACGCGTTCATTTGCTTGACTGTTGGAAAAGGATGTTTTCAAAAGAGGTTTTAAACTGAGCTAGATATTTTCTAAAGGATTTTCACGGTTTTACTGTTTTCTCAAAGAGTGGTACTGTCCTATATAGCATGATGGATTGCTCTTACGTGATTTCTTGCCTCGCAGTTATTATTTACTCTTATTACTCACTGAGTTGGAAGTACTCACTTTACTCCATGCACCTCGCGTGCAGTTGCAGGTATTGTTCACCCGGTAACGGGTTATTAGCTGATTGAAGGTATGGCTATTGTAGCTGAGTAAGGTGACCGCCAGCGTTCGCGGCACCGGATGTTGTCTTTTGATTTCCAGGATTTTTCCTTATATATTATTATTGGCCCTGTAGTTGTGTTCAGGTTTCTTTAGATGCTTGTGACTTGTGACACCCCGGTCGGGTTCTGTTGGGTTGTCGTTAAGCTATATTTATCTATACATTTATGTTTAATAATTGTTAAAGAAACGGATTGGGTTAGTTGGCTGGCCTTGTCTTCACGAGAGGCGCCATCACGACCGGGTATGGAAATTGGGTCGTGACAATAATAGGGTTCTTTCTCTCAAAGAATCACATGCAAAAATCACCTTCCATATTTTTAAGTGTGATTAGCAACATTAGATACAAGACGGAAAAGAAATTTCATGGACGGGGTAGCAAATAAGGTGATGAAATACAAAATCTATATAAATATTCCACAAATCTAAAAAAAAAGGAACTTTTTCAATGGGTATAGTTGAAATTCATTGAAAATATATAGATAAGTCAATATACAAAATTTGAGGAAGATTGGATGTGATTTGGACTGGTTTTGTATCATAATTCATAATTAAATCGAGTTCAAAAAAGTCTTCTACGACACATGTATCAAACATGTATCACGCACGTATCTCACACACAGGTATACATGGATATACATGTGATACACAATTGATACAAATATGATACATATGTGATACACAAATGATACACAGTGTGATACACATATCATTTTTTTTCATGTTCAGCTTTTACTTCGAATTTTCGATTCAAACCACCTCAAAACTTCACCAAATCATCCCAAAACTGAGATTCAAGCTCCTTAAGTTGTGCCCAATCTATTCTAATAACACCCACTCAAAACAAAGCAAAATTTTGATATTTTTTTGCTACACATAGCTAATTGGCTAATTTGGCTAATATTAGTAATATTTTATCAATTGGCCAATTTTTGTAATGAGCTAGCTATAAATGGACATAGCTGGTAATTTCCAAAAGAAAAAAAAAGGGAAAATCTTGCTTTCCCTCCAAAGTAGGAGGAGATTAATTTAATCCAAGTCATCCTTCATTCTACACCGTTGATTGACTAAAACATCAAACGGCTGAAACTCACGATCCGCGTCATCCCAAATTAACCAATCAATAGCTCGCCCCAACTTTTTATATAACAAATCTCTTTACACCATTTCTTTCACACAGTTCGAACTCAAAATCTCTCCGATTCCTACAAACTTTGCTAATCTCCTCTTACATTCCTCAAATCTTCTTAAAATGGCACCAAAGGCTGAGAAAAAACCCGCAGAGAAAAAACCAGCTGCCGAAAAAGCCCCACCGCTGAGAAATCATCAAAGGCCGGCAAAAAGCTCCCGAAGGACGGCGCCGCTGCTGCCGGAGACAAGAAGAAGAAGAGGGGAAAGAAGTCAATTGAGACTACAAGATCTACATTTTCAAGGTACTGAAACAAGTTCACCCTGATATCGGAATTTCAAGCAAAGCTATGGGTATCATGAACAGTTTCATCAACGATATCTTCGAGAAACTTGCTCAGGAATCTTCTAGATTGGCCCGTTACAACAAGAAGCCTACGATTACTTCTCGGGAGATTCAGACTGCTGTGAGACTTGTACTTCCTGGTGAATTGGCGAAGCGTGCTGTTTCTGAGGGTACTAAGGTTGTTACCAAATTCACCAGCTCTTGAAAGTTGATAGGTTTTTGTTATTTTTTCCTTTTGGTTTCTGTTGCGTTTATGAGTTCAATTAGAGTTTGGTGATGTAAAGAAGAACTTTTGGTGTAATATTTTACAGTTCTGCATCTATAGCAAAATTGGAAGTTGTGCTAATTTTTAAATTGAAATTGTCTTGAGAAAATTAATTGATATGGTTAGATTTGTCAGTGGCTATCAAGTGTATGTTTTCTCATTCAAATTCAACTGCAATTTAGTGTTAATCACAATATTTTTCACCTTCGCAACTCTCTGTCTCTCTCTCTCTATCTAATAAAACCCGCAATTATTGAATATTAATTATTGAATTCTTTAGTTTCATCACTAGATACTTTGGTGATAATTGCAATCTGTCCGCAATATTAATTAAATCCGCTATAAGTGTGGCTCATTTCGGTAATGCCTTATGTAGTTTACTATTGAAAGTTTTTCCCAATTGACAAAGTAGTATTGACACGTTTTCATTAAATTCAATTTGTGAGTATAAGTTCATTTTGTAATGGTGAAGTCCGGATCATTCTGCAATTATACTAAACAAAATGTAATAATTCGGTTAAAATCTCCTTCCTCTAAACCTCCCTCACAATGACTGTGAAGATTGAGTGAGGAGAAAGCTCCGAACTACCTCCAATGGAGGTTGTGGAAGCTTCTCGAAGAGAGAGAGTAACGGAGAAGACAGTAAAGTCGGTTAAGCAGAAAAATTATGATATTAACCAAAAACTAAAAATGATATTATTTTTTAATACATATATACAATTGACTTATTGTAATCCTAACTACCAATCACTGGCTAAGGGTAATGCTGACTCAGCACCAATACAAATATAAATATTATACAATATTCTCAATACCTCCCCTCAAGTTGGAGGTGAGGAAGTCACACCCAACTTGCTAAGTACAGAGTAGTGTTTGATCCTAGTAAGAGCCTTACTGAGTACATCAGCAAGTTGTTGTCCAGTGCCAATGTGATGTAGTGAAATGAGTTTCTCTTGGAGTTTGGTGCGAACAAAATGGCAATCAACTTCAATATGCTTGGTTTTTTCATGGAACACAGGGTTCCTAGCAATATGTAGTGCAGAGAGGCTATCACAATGTACAGGTATAGGTGGATTGATTGACACAGTAAGCTCTTCAAGCAGCCTGGATAGCCAAACAAGCTCACCAACAACCTTTCTAAGAGCTTTGTATTCTGCCTCTGCTGAAGAAAGAGAAATGGTTTCTTGTTTCTTAGACTTCCAACTAATTGGACTTCCTCCTAGGAACACAATGTATCCAGACACTGATCTTCTGGAGTCTGGGCAAGTTGCCCAATCAGAATCACAGTAGGCAACCAGGGAAGATCACTCTCATTACTGAAATAAAGGCCCATCGTGGGATCTCCCTTCAGGTATCTCAAGCCTTTAAATGGGGCTCCCTAGGGTCTTACATGAATTGACTGAGATGTTGAACCCCATAAGCTATGTCTAATCTGGTGTTAGTGAGAAAATTCAACTTGCCAATCAACTTCCCGTAGAAAGTGGGGTCAGAAAGTGGTACTCCTTCTTTAGCTTTCAATTTGATTGTGGGATCAAGAGGAGAAGTCAGGGGTGGACAGTGAAGGCATTCATAGTCCTTCAATAAGTCCAAAACAAACTTCCTTTGAGAGACAATAATGCCATCTGACTTGTAAAGAATTTCCAGCCCCAAAAAATAGTGTAGCTGTCCCAAATCCTTGATTTTAAACTTATCATGTAAGAAAGCTTTAAGTTGATCAATTTCTTCAGAATCAGTCCCTGTGAGCAACACATCATCCACATATACTGCTACAAAGACAATAGAGGAGTTCTGTTTTCTGTAGAACAAGGAATAGTCATGCATGAAGTGCACATATCCTCTGGAATATAGCACTTCAGTTAGCTTATCATACCACTGCCTACTGGCCTGCTTTAACCCAAAAGAGATTTATTTAACTTGCACACTAACTGTGGGGAAGACACTTCAAGACCTGGAGGGGTTTGCATATAGACCTCCTCATGCAAATCTCCATGGAGAAATGCATTATTCACATCTAGCTGTGAAATTTGCCACTTCTTCTTTGCTGCTATAGCAATGAGAGACCTCGCAGTGGTCATCTTGACCACTGGGGAAAAAGTCTCTGTATAGTCTACACCAGCTTGCTGAGTGTATCATTTAACAACCAGTCTTGCTTTGTATCTTTCTACACTACCATCTGCCCTATGTTTAACTTTATACACCCATCTACACCCAATGGCTTGTTTACCCTTAGGTAGGGGAACCAGATCCCATGTCCTATTAGCATACAAAGCATCAAACTCCTGTGTCATGGCATTCTGCCAGGCAGGATATACAACAGCTTCTTCATATGAAGTTGATTCTCTATCATTGGAAATGTTCTCTACAATGTGCTGACTATTAGGATGCAGGGCATCAGAAATGATGTGGTTATTGTTGGAGGACATGGCATGCAAAGAAAAATTGGTAGTACATTTTAAATTTGGTATTTTGTAAACATAATCATTCAGATGTGAGGGCAATTTATGCTCCCTATTGGATCTTCTGAAAGCTAGTGGTTTTGTCAGGGGCTGTGGGGATGAGGCCACATCTTGTAGTTGACCTACTGGAATTTGGAATTCATGAACAGAGGATACAGGTTAAGAAACATCAGGTGATGTGTTGGAGCTTGAAGAGTTGGCACTTTCCTGATTATTGGCATTGTCACTAATGTTATGATGCAGTTGAGTGTCAGCATGATCAAGAGAATTTTCAAAGAATGGTATATCAGGGAGGACAGATGGAATGTCTAATGTGGTGGAGTTAAGAATGAAGGGGAAAACTGACTCATGAAATGAAACATCCCTAGAAACATGTATTCTCCTAGTGTCCAGACTTAGTACCTTGTACCCCTTTGTACCAAAAGGATACCCTACAAACACATGCGGGCTGGTTCTTGGTTCTAGTTTATCTCTGAATGGCTTTGGTACTGTAGGATAGCACAGGCAGCCAAAACTCCTCAAGTGAGAGTAATTTGGCTTCCTTTTATATAAGAGCTCAAAAGGACATTTGTTCTTTAGAGGAATGGTTGGAAGTCTGTTAATCAAATATGTTGCTGTAAGGACACACTCTCCCCAATATTTCAGTGGCAATTTAGATTGAAAAAGGAGTGCCTTGGCTACTTCAAGTAGATATTTGTGTTTTCTTTCCACCACCCCATTTTGTTGTGGTGTATAAGGACAAGTCTTTTGGTGGTTAATTCCTTTGGATTGAAAGAAAGTGGCAGCTTCATTGTTGGTAAACTCTAAACCATTATCAGATCTTATACATTTGACAGTTGTTTTGAATTGATTTTCCACCATGGTTGTAAAGGCCTTTATTATTTGCAAGGCATTGCTTTTGCAGCTTAGGAGGTGTGTCCAAGTGGACCTACTGTAGTCATCTACCAAGGTTAGAAAATATTTGAAGTTGTTGTGTGTTGTCACATGATAGGGTCCCCATAAATCTACATGAAGAACTTCAAAGATTTCAGTGGTTTCAGTTGTTCTTTGGGGAAAGGGAAGTCTGGATTGTCTGGCCGTGGGACAAATATTGCATGTGAAAGGTTGTTTGTCAAAAAAGGTTGCAGGTATGGTAGGAATCCCTTTTATTTTACTAAAGGGTACATGACCAAGTCTGAAATGCCACAATACATCTATATTGACAACATGAGATGAACCAGAAAACAAAGCAGAGTTACTGTCTTTATTCTTGATGCTGTAAATGGAATTATTTACAATTGGAAATGAATTGAAAGATTGAGTTAGACAGTGTATACCTCTTACATCACTAGTATGAATGGAAAAACAAGAAGGATCACACTTATGTTTGGAACTACCTTTCTTCAGGCACTTGGAGCAAAGGAAATACAAACCATCCAACAACTTACCAATCTCCAGAGGCCTCTTCAGTGAAGGGGCCTGCAGCAGACAGGAAGTGTCTGAGAATGATGCAATACATTTTAAATGAGCTGCTAAGGAACTAATGGATACCAGGTTGAATTTGAATGAAGGAATGAACAGAACTTTGTACAGGATGATTTCAGGTGTTAGGGATACACTTCCAATTTCACTTACTTTGACTTTATAGCCATTTGGAAGTTTCACTAATAGAGGATAAGGAAGGCTTACTATGTTTTGCAAGTGAGATTTATCAAAGGTCATATGGTGTGATGCCCCGGAGTCTAATATCCACAAGTCAGCCTTTGCATTAAAGCATTTACATGATGGATTGTCAAAATCAATTGAAGAAGTGCAAGCAATCATACCTGCAAAGTTCATTGATGCTCCACCAGCCATGTTTGCACTAGCTGAGCCTTCTCCAATGCTTCCCGTCTGAAAATGCTGCAGCAGGCTAACAATTTGTCCATATTGTTCTTTTGTAAGGTTGACATTTTGGCTTTGGCTTTCTCCTTGAAGCTCAAGTTTCTCTCCTTCCTCAACACTTGTGACTGCATTTGCTGTGACATTTCTTCCCTTATTGAACTTTGTATTGTTATTGTACCCTTGTGTACCTTGTCTATACTGTTGTTGTGGTCCTTGATTGAAGCTTTGAGGATAAACGTGGAGTTTATAGCACTTGTCCTTAGTGTGACCTTGTCGTTTGCAATAATCACAAAAAGGTCGAGCCCTATTGTTCACATTTTGGTTTCCAGTTCCAGTAGAATAATTTGTTTTGAAATTCCTTCCTCCTAGGTTCGCATTCAATGCTGTGGAATCAATGTCTAGTTGATTTCTGGGCCTAAACTCTCTCTGTTTCTCTTCTTGTATTAGAAGGGCAAATGCCTGTGCCATATTTGGTAAGGGGTTCATCATAAGTAAGCTTCCTCGAACAACCGTATACACTTCATTAAGTCCCATTAAAAACTGTATGAGCCTCATATCCTGCTCTGCCTTATGCATGTTCTCCTTTGCCCCACAAGTGCATATACAGCTGCAATGTGCCTTGACACTGAGAGTATTCAATTCCTCCCAGAGTTTCTTCATTTTCGTGTAATAGCCAGTAATGTCAAGCACTCCCTGACTCAAGTCGTTGATTCCCTTCTGAATTTGGTACAACTTAGCCCCATTCGTCTGATCACATTGATCCTGTAGCTCCTTCCACAGCTCGACGGAATCGTTCACATACTCAACACTGTCAGCTATGTCTCTCATAAGGAATTTAAAATCCACGAGGTGACAGTATCATCACACCTTTCCCATTGGCGAAAGAATGGAGAACTCACAAGAGGTTTTTCAATATCTCCGGTTATGAATCCTAGCTTGTTCTTCACTGAAAGGGCTCTGAGCACACTCCTCCTCCAGGAGCGGTATCCAATCCCATCAAAAGGTACTGGAACTAGACTGGATCCTGGGCTATCGGAAGGATGTATGTACAGGGGACTCCCAGCATCGATTGTGGTCTGTATCGTCGCTGCTGCTGTGGTTGTGGTCGCTTCATCAGTTTGATCCGTGACCGCCATGAAGATTTTGTGAATAATAATCGAAATGTTCTTCGTACGGCTGAGATTTCTTCAGTCCGCTAACGGATCGTCACTGAATGTGTTCGATCCAAGTTTTTTTCCCAATTGTGATTATCGAAAGAGATTGAACAAAACCCTAGATCGCTCTAATCGACTGAAAATAGCAGAGAGATATGATGTGTAGTCGTTGATCGGACCTTCACTCTGTTACCATGTGAAGATTGAGTGAGGAGAAAGCTCCGAACTACCTCCAATGGAGGTTGTGGAAGCTTTTCGAAGAGAGAGAGTAACGGAGAAGACAGTAAAGTCGGTTAAGCAGAAAAATTATGATATTAACCAAAAACTAAAAATGATATTATTTTTTAATACATATATACAATTGACTTATTGTAATCCTAACTACCAATCACTGGCTAAGGGTAATGCTGACTCAGCACCAATACAAATATAAATACTATACAATATTCTCAATAATGACATTTAATTTTTGTTCACAATAAGATCGGTCATGGAGGAAGATTAATTTTAATGTTTCGAAATAGCACAAGAAATACAAGCTTATAGCCCGTTTTATTAAACAACAAAGAAATCAACCATCACGACAATGTTTGGGTCAGCAGCATATGCCATATGGGTCGCTAAATTAAGTTTCGTGTACTATTTAATAAATTAAATTTCTTTTCTTTTTATTCCTATTTTTTGGAAGATCAATAAGTACATTTTATCAATCGCCTTTAATTTTCCAAATCATTAATTATTCAATTGCTGAGTTTGATTAATTGTCTATAGTGTTTAATTTAACTTAGTTGGTTATAGTTGTAGGTATGCAAAAATTATTGGATGTAAATTTAATAAAATAATTTGGACTTCGTTTTAAATATAGGAATTTTTACATTCCTATACACTATATGAAACTATATTACCCTTCCTACTCAAGTTTTACTATAATTACATTTTATATACCCAATAAGCAATTATGTACATTTTAAGGGAATTAATGATAATAATTAGTGTCCTAAAATTACTCTAACATATCTTCCACTCCCCCACGTTTTTCTCTCCATATCCCCTCCCCCCTCCCCCACGTATCTTGCACAAGAGAGCAGCAATTCCACCATTGACAACCATTAAAAAGCTTTGAAGCTTTGAATTCGAATGGGTTTTCAAAAAATATTATTTGTTTGAATTGGATGTTGTTGCAAAGAATTGAGAATTCTCTCTACATCTCTCTCTATCTCTCAATCCCAAATTTCAGTAATGTAAAGCAAAGGAAAAGAGAGCAGCAATTCCACCATTGACAGCCATTAAAAAGCTTTGAAGCTTTGAATTCGAATTTGAATTTTCCAAAATCATTATTTGTTTGGACTGGGTGTGTTGTTGCAAATAATTGAGAATATGGTTTGGAGTTTATATCTCAATTTTGAGGGGTTTTGGTGAAGATTAGACTTGGTTTTGGCTGAATTTTAGATTGAAACTCGAAGAAGAAGAAGAAGAAGAAGAAGAAGAAGAAGAAGAAGAAGAAGAAGAAGAAGAAGAAGAAGAAGAAGAAGAAGAAGAAGAAGAAGACATGACATACATTATACTGCAGAAATTATAGAAAAATTGTAGAAAAATTGTATTCTGTTGTTTATATAATTTTTTTTATTCATTTAACTATTTTATGAAAGTTGAACAACATTGTATAAAAATTATATTTAAGTTGTATGATATTGTAGTTGTATATAACTGAGTAAAAATAATGTATGAAAATTATATTCTGTGCAGATACTTCATCAGCATTTCCAGAAATTCTCTGCAGCCTCAGGACTGGTTGCTAATCCAAATAAGAGTTGCATCTATTTTCGAGGGGTGAATCAGTCGACTCAGCAACAAATTATGGAGATTCTTGGTTATAAAAAGGGAGAATTGCCTTTCAGATATCTAGGGGTTCCATTGAGTACTAAGAGACTATCTACTATACAATGTGAGCCACTAATTGAGAAAAAATATTGCGCAGAATTCAGAACTGGACAACAAAGTATTTGTCATATGCAGGTAGAGCAATCCTAGTGAAGAATGTACTGTTTGTTATACAAACATTTTGGGCACAGATCTTTATACTGCCTAAGAAAGTTATACAGTTCATAGAGACCATCTGTAGAAGGTTTCTGTGGACAGGAGATGCTGAACCAACTAAGAAGGCCTTGACAGCTTGGGAAAGACTTTGCTCACCTAAGGTTGCAGGGGGATTGAACTTTATAGACATGGCATTATGGAATGAAGCTGCTATTTGCAAATTTCTATGGAATATATGTACTAGGAAGGAGAAGCTATGGGTGCATCTGGTACACACTTACTATGTCAAAGGCCATGCAGTGTGGAGTAGTGGGTACATAGGTCGGGTTGGTTCGGATTTTGCAATTACCAAACCAAACCAATTGTATCGGGTTTTTAAATCTATAGACCAAACCAAACCAACAAAAGTCGGGTTTTTCAATATCGGGTTTTCTCGGGTTTCTCGGGTTTTTCGGGTTTTTCGTTCCGATAAACTTGGAGGCTTATTTCATACCTCTATAAATGCAACAAATCCGGATACATAGATAATGCACTACTCTGAATTAAAGTCATTCTTTTAGCTATTTCAACCAAAGATAGTAATGATCACCAATAATTCAAAAGTCCAAGCTTCCACACTGCTTGCTCTATAAATTTTGTGTTCCATTAGCTTGTCTCAGTTAAATGCAAGCACTAACAAGCAGTCTTTTTTGTACAAGAACTAGTAAGAACACATATCAATTATTACATGCCTACAAGAAGGAATACCAAAAGCATAGCACAAAGCTTACTAGATTATCACAATCCTGGTATTGCATTGGTAACAATACAAGAGCAGTACAGGAGAATTATATGTATAAGAGTTATCACATAGGATCACTCAACTTTTTAAGAGTAGACATTACACCCAAGAGTCTTATAAATTAAACAAAAAGAGAATATATTAAACTCTAAGAAGTTGGGCATCTTAGTAGACATTACAACCAGAGGAGCATGTTTCCAAAATACTTGTAAAGGCATAATGACCTCACTTCCAAAAATAGTCATGAAGCAAATTTTAGTTAATCATCCCTCTAATCAATCCTCAAAGGTGGGTCTGCATATTCTGGAAAAAAAAAAAAAAACAATTAACATATTTAAATATTAAATAATATATTTATGTTAAGTATGGCAAGGGTAACGCATCTTCTGTGCAAGTCAAATATCTCGTGAGTGAACAAACTGAGCAGCAATTATAGAAAGAAGATTCATGGACAGCAATTAAACAATTAACATGAAGCAAATTATTACCTTCTTCAATTTGCTCAATTTTCTGGACTTCTTCTAACATGTCTTCAAACTTATATTCCTTGGAAGGTGATCGTATCCATTGTTGAGTACAAATAAGTGCTTCCACTGTTTTTGGTGATAAAGAACTCCTATAAGAATCCAGAATTCGACCACCTGTACTAAAAGCTGACTCCGATGCAACAGTAGAAATAGGAATAGAAAGAACATCCCTTGCAATCCTTGAAACAATTGGATATTTACTAGATGAAACTTTCCACCATGTCAAGATATTAAAATCCTTGATCTTCACCACATCATCCATCAAATATATCTCAAGATCAGATTTTTTTATAGTATTTCCCTCATCTTCCAAAAGTTTCTCCCACTTTGATTGCAACAAATCACCAACTTCACTCATACTAGTATCGCCTCCAATATTGTCATTAGAATCCTCAAAAAAAGAATCATTGTAGTTATTATACAAGCGATTTAAAATGCTTATCACATCTTCAGACTTCAATCTTCCCAACAAAGAACCAAATGCATCAGTAAGAATGAAGTTCACATACTTCATCTTGTATCTAGGATCCAACACAACAGCAACAAGCAATAACATATTCATATCCTCAAACTTACCCCAATATTTCTCAAGCTTACCTTTCATTCTTCCTGCCATATCTTTCAAAGTACAATCATCGCTTTTGGTATACTTTATAATAGCATTTCGAAGATTGAAAAATTCATGGAAGAAAGAGTTGGAAGTAGCATATAAACTGCCTGAAAATTTTAAAGTTGTCTGATAGAAAATGTTAAGAAACTTGATAAAAGCTTTCACTTTCTTCCAGTCGTCTGCAGATGGATTTCCTCTTAAAGCACTTATTTCTCGACAATACTTTTGATACTTATGGTCATCCACATACATTTTTGTAAAGGCTTTTTCAAATTTTAGAGCTGTATCTAACATTGTATATGTGGAGTTCCATCTTGTTTCAACATCAAGACTTACAAGACCATGAGTATCTATCTTAGCTTTCTCAATAAATGACTTGAAAGAAGCAAACCTTGAAGGAGAAGACCTAACATATTTTACTACATTTCTTACACGAGAAATAGGCTCAATTTGTTCATCTAACCCATCTTTTACAATCAAGTTTAAAATATGAGCATTGCATCTAACATGCAAAAACTCATTTTCAAGTATTACCCCTTTCCAATCATCAATACGCAACTTCAAATGCTTAATGGCAGCATCATTAGCACTTGCATTATCCAAGGTTACTGTAAATAAGTTCTCAATGCCCCAACCAAATAAACATGCTTCAATTCCCTTTGCAATAGTCTCACCTTTGTGATCCGGTGTTGGAAAAAAGTTCAAAATTTTCTTTTGTA